ATTGATCGAGCCTGTTTCATTATATATGATTATGCATTTATGTTTAACTTAAAAAAAAAAACAAATTAATTCAACACTATATGGGCTGACCAAAATATAAAATTAACACTTCTATGTCAAAACAAAGAAACATTCTAAAATCAAATCAAGAAAATGTTTCAAAGTCAAATCAAAGAAACATTTCAGGACCAAAGCAAAAAAACGTTTAAAGGAATGTTCCAGGGCCAAAGCAAAAAAACGTTCAAAGAAATGTTTTAGGCTTGAAGCAAAGAAATGTCCAAGGAAATATACTTAGATCAGAACAAAGGAATGCTCCTAATTTAAGTCCAGAAAATGATTTGAATCAAGAAAATGATACAAATCAAAAAAATGTTTTTCAACTTAGTGGTTGCTCATTTATCTGCTGTTATAATACCAACAAGGAAAATATTTTATTAAACAATACAAACAGAATTATCAAACATAAGTCTAAGGTTATAAATGGTCAAGATCTTCCTACTCTATTAAACAAAAAATAAAGATTGTTAGCTATGCGAAGAAGTATGGAAAAAATCAAGCAGCAAACAACTTTAATCTTAATGGCAGTATGATTAGACATTAGGTAAAAGCAAGTACAAGTTGGATAGTTCAGGTGAATAGTAAAAGCAAAAAAATTGGGTCAGGTCAAAGAGCTCTTTATCCTAAAGCTGAAAAAAGCTTGTATACATAGATTATTGACAAAGGAAACAGGCATTAGCTGTGATATATGTAGCTATAAAAAATTAAATGATGGAAATTTTGCAAAAACCTGATATGATGCTTCTTTATGGTGATGCAGCAAAGACTTTCAAGACATCTCATCGTTTGATAGTTGTATTTTTAAAAGAAATCAGTTGGCATTATGTCAGCATACTAGAATTTTACAAAAACATCCTGAACAAACCCAGGAGTTGCTAGAAAAATTTTGTCAACATGTTATCCATCTTAGAAGTGAAAAGTTTTATGATATGTGCAATATTTTTAATATGGACAAAACTTCAGTCTGGTTTGACATGGCTAGTAACTTTACTGTCAATCCAAAGGATGAAAAAACGGTTTATATTCGGGCTACGGGTAATGATAAGAATAGGTTCACATTTGTCTTATCATGTGCATCAGGGATGTCTTTTTTTTTAAAAAAAAAAAATGTAAAATAATTTTTTTTTTTAATGTATTCATATATTTACACATCATTGATTCATTATTGTAGATGGAAGTAAGCTCTCCGATTTGCATATTCAAGGAAAAACGATTAAATTGTAGTGAACAAATTCCTCCTGGTATTGTCATTTGGTTTCAGGAAAATGGCTGGATGAATAGTGAGTTAATACTAAAATATGTAGATTATTTTAATAATATATGATTAAAAAATGAAACCAGAAGAAATCTAGCAATGCTAATATATAATTCTTTTAAAGGTCACTTGGATGATTCAGTCAAAAGTAAATTCTATGAGCATAGTATTGAGCTGGCGTAAATTCCAGAAGGCCTAATTAGCATTTGCCAACCTCTTGATATTTCAATTAATAAGCCATTCAAAAATAATTTGTGTAAGGAATGGCATCTTTGGATGGCAAAAGGCAGTACTGGAAAAACTGCTAAAGGAAATCTTCATCGAGCTAGATTAAGTGATGTTTGCACATGTATTAAACATTCTTGGGAGGCAATTTCTGATAAAATTATCATCGAATCCTTCAGAACTTGTAAAATATCAAATGATTTAAATGAACTAAGCTCTGATTTAGAAGTTATTGATCTTTGTAATGAAGGCAATAATAATAATAATGATAATATTGAAGAGGATAAACATAAGGGATTCATTTATTATTAAAAATCTGCTGAAATGAGAAATATTACTGCAGTAAGTAATCTTTAAATACTGTCATTAAAATAAATTAGGATTCAGCAATTATAACAATGATTGCGATAATTACTATGATGATTATGATGATAATGGTAACGGTAATAGTGATGATAATATCGATGTTAATAATGATAATAATGTTGACGGTAATAGTAAAGATTATGATACAGATGATAATAAAAGTATGGGCTAAACAATTAAGATGATATGGTAATTATTTTAAATTGTAGTTATTTTAAATAACATCGAATTATTAACAGTTCAAATTTCAAATTTTTTATAAAATCTTTAAATTAGTGAAATCATGTAGATGACTATTCAAAAATCAGAAAAACTTGCGGTTAAACCCAAAATTTCGCATTTCCAACAATTCACCAATTTGAAGAGAATTTATGATATATTGCAAAAAGTAAAATAAAACTACAAAACTTCATATTATATACTGTGTAATTGATGATGTTATTTTGCTTATTATTTTTTAACTATCTTCTATTATATTTTTAATTAAACCTGCTGCATACCAGGTCTTTAAACAAAGAGTTGCACAAGCTTTTCAGGATCTAATCGATTTCTAGTTGGGCTAATTGTAAACTTTGCAATATTAAACATTTGTTCACTTGCTACGCTTGTTGCTTGAACTATTAAATAGTTACGGGCCATGCAAGCAAGTGAAGTCCAGCAGGGATTTAAAGATTTAGCTTTCCAATATGTAAGAATATCAACTTCTTTGATAGGTAAACTTAGATATTCTTTAAGAGAATTATCATTATCAACAAACATATTATAAGATCTTTTAAGATGATGATGAAAATAATCCTTTGAAGATCCAGTTTTGTGTTGTTCGATAATTTTATCATTACTTTCAATTAAATAATAAGTTCTATAAGTTTCATGAATTACTTTTTGTGCTTTGTTTATATCTTCGTTTTCAAATAGCATCAGCTTGTTATTTGGATCAAAAATTGCTGCTTTAAGTTCATCCCAATACTTGTATATAATATATATACAAGTAATAAAATTTAGAGCAAAATTTTACTTTAAAAAAATTATAGAAATACTAAAATAGATAATATATATTTTTTATAGTCAAGAATAGCCTTTTTGGCTTTTCACTTTTATTAGATTGTAAAATCATATAGTGCCTTTTTCAAGAAGATCCCAGACAAGTACATTCTAACAAGAGTACATTCTAGCTATATCTGCACCTTTTGAGTGCCTAATTTAAGTAGTCTGCCTATTACTAGGTTCTATATTAGATGTCATACCTATAATCTACCTATTATTTGAATTAATCTAAGTTTTTTATGCCAATTCATCTAATCTTATGTGAAATATGTGATATATTAGTTAGTTAAAGTTCTAAGATTATTACGAGCTATCTATAAGACTACCAGTATAGTTAACCAATTCATTCTCAAAGTTATCACATGCTAGAGCAATCTAGTATACACTATTGCTATATTATTTAGTCTACTTTAGTAATTTAGGCTGAGTCTGAGTACAAATAGTTGCAAGCTAAAATTGCAACTATTACCTATTTAGCCTTTGTAAAATCTAGTATATTACCTTCAAGAGAGCCTGGTATCTTCCCTTTCAGTATCTCCTAGTTAGTTTTCTAAACTACCAATTTAAATAACCCAAAAGGATACAAGTTTTGTGGTATCTGCTAATTCTTTTTCTTTGGTTAATGCTTAAGCTGACAGTCTGATTAGTAGATCAACTTGTCAAATGCTCTTGCTGTTTCTAGTTAACTGGTCTCAGATGAAACCTATTTTAATAGCCACTATCAAAAGTCTATATTACTTTTCTACTCAGATCTTGCCAAATGGGTATTCATCTTTTCAGTTTTTTGGATTAATATGATTATAAGAACTTATCTTGAGTTTGCACTACCCAATACCAGATTGTATACCTTCATATAACTTATACATTGTATAAATACTCTATGATCTCCTAATCTTGTTGGCACTACCAATTTCAGAGATCCTGTTTCAACTAATTTCAAAAGACAATAGCTATTATACAAGCAGAATATTTAAAATTTTGTTATCAGTAAGTTTTGACTCTTTATCTTCTAACATATTGCTTGAAGATGCGACAACTTAACCACTTTGCTAAGTCACCACACCCTAATAGATAATAATTTTAGTTTTATAGAAATATATTATTGTTTATAAAGTTTAGAAATATAAAATATTAAAAAATAAATATACTTCATTTAGTTTATACAAGTATTAAATTTTGTCTTTATATACTTCTTTTTATATTTGAAATTAAATTAAAAAATTATTTTAAAAATAGTTAAAATCTTTAAATATAACTTTAAATTTATAAAAATTTTAGAGTTATATAATTTAGTGAATGAGTATAGTAATATATTTATATGATTAAATAATTTTATTATAATATTAGATATAATATAAAATTGAAAAAATAGCAATATTTTAAAAAAAAATCATTTGTAAATCATAATTTTACTTATAAAACATCTTTATATTCTAATAGAAAATTTTTTTACAAAATTTTGTATATACAGTCAAACCTTGCTATAGTCACCTTTCTATAATTACAAAATTAATATAATTATAAATTTATTTTTACTAATTATTTATCACTATATAGAAAATACCTCTATATTAATTACACCTCTTTATAATTACAATAATTTGTATCCCAAAGATGTGATTATAGAGAGGTTTGATTGTAACTAATATTTAATTACAATCTAATCTAATATTATATTGGTACTAACCTTTATTCTAAATTAAAATATTGCTAGTTTGTTTTAATTTAACATTATATCAAATATTATAGATGTATTACATCATACTTATACTACAATATTTTATTTTATTTTTTATATTTTATTTTTATTAAAAAATTTTGTTAAAAAGTAAACTTCTTAATTTATTTTTTTAAAAAATTAATTAAAATAATTAGAATTATTTATTTTTTTAAATAAATATATCTATATATTTATATTTAATTTGACTAAAGCACTATTAATTGACTTTAAAACTAACTATTTTATTAATTTTTTTATATTACTGTATTTCTCTGAAAATAAGCACCCCTTTTTGTTATAGGGGTGTTTATTTTCGGGTACTTCATATACAAATAAAAAATTTAGGTACAAAAAAAAAACTTGTTCATTTCCACTATACTGAAAGTCAATTAGAATATCTTATCATAATTTTTATTTGATTATTCATACTGTAATTGTTCTTTATTGCATTGTCTTATTTTGATCAACTTCCATAATAGTGATTGAGCCTGTTCAATTATACATGATTATGCATTAATGTTTAACTTAAAAAAAAAAAACAAATTAATTCAACACTATATGG